ACAAGTTTTAGAAGAGATAACAATAAGACAGATTATATTCAGAGATACAAACGATTAGAAATTGTGGGAGAGCCATGATCACCTATATCTTGAAGGACGGCATACAGAAGAAAAAAAGAATGTGCTTGTCTAAAATGGATGACGGAAGAAGTTTTAGGAGAGCTAACAAAAGACAAAGTTTATTAAGAGATACAAAGGACAGGGGAAATTGTGGGAGAGCTATGATCGACTACGTGCTGAAGGGACTCGGCACATAGAAGAATGGTCTTGACTAAATTGATGGCGGAACAAGTTTTAGGAGAGATTAGCAGTATAACCCGTCTTCGACCGGGTCTTTCATTACGAGAAACTTTTGCCGCTCAATTGGAGCAGTTTAAGTTTAAAGTCAGCCCACACGAAAATCAATATTAGTGACCACAACTGGCTGCAACTGAGGCACATCCCCAAATGATTTATTTAACAATTTGAAGGTGGGGGCTGAAAAGGGCCGTTTTTGCATTCACAATTTTGCAAGGAAGAAACCTCTTCCATGGACCGTCATAATAATAATGTACAATAATTTTTATTTATATATCTTTTTTATAATTCTAATAATCTTTTGCGTTAGATTCCAACTCTCTAAATTGATTGTACGCTGTTTTTTACTGACATTAAATTTTGCCTTTGATTTTTGCGCAAAGTGTAAAAAATCAATTTTTTCGATTTTTCACCTTCAAGGTTGTCATTTTTTCCAGCCAATTTGGACTCAAAACCGGCATTGAAGAATTATCTATCAAAGAAAAAATATTTCATCAAAATCGGATGAAAACTGGGGAAAAGCATAACATACGATCATACACACAGACACACACATACAAACATACACACATAGATACATACACACGCACATTTTGATAATTACAGATATATATTAACAAAAGTCAAAGTTTATTAAGATATACAAATGGACTGAAGTTGTGGAGAGCCGTGATCGCTAATATTCTGATGTACACGGCACATAGGATAAGAATGAGCTTAACTAAATGAATGGCGGAACAAATTTTAGGAGTGATAACACAAAGTCAAAATTCATTAAGAGATACAAAGGACCGGAAATTGTGGAGAGCCATGGTCGCCAATATCCTGAAGGGACACGGTACATAGAAAAACAAGAAGAAGAAGAAGATAAGATATTTGGATTTGAATCAGATAGCGAAAATGTTTCATTGGCATATGACAAAACGGATCCGTCCTGGGTATGACGATAAACTACATCCGGCAGCAAGGCCTCTAATCAGGAGGTTTTGAGGAGCGTGGAAACACCTCTTAATTGCTAGAGTTCCCAGGTCTACCCCTGACCCGGGGTAGTAGCACATTTCAGGGTCCCAGCTGTGGGTAAATAATTAACCCCAAACTTGAGTCAAACACTATGAAAGTGTAAAAATATGTTTTAATACCAGAAATGGTTTGTGAAAATTATTATCAGCAACCATTTTTTGAAGAAAAAATATTAACAGTAGTACATTTTCGGAAAAAAATAACCAGCAACAAAAAATCTTGTCGGTATTAAATAACCCATTGAGATTAATATGCTCTAACCCCCCAAAAAAAAAACCAACAACAACAAAGAAAACCTGATGTTATAGGGCTTCTTCCCCGTCATGTTTCTTGCACTTCCGTCTTCGTTTATAGCTTTCTTATCCTATTGATCAGATTTTTCTTATGAAAAACTGTGTTATTCTATTCTCTTTTTCTGTTTTCTTATTTATAAATGGCGAGGTTCTTCTTTAATGAGCACGCATAGGATTCTCAGAAAACTGAATAGATCTGTCAGAAGGCGGAGTTTCCGTGAGTTCGAACTTTCGCGGGAAAACGATTTCTGTGCCCTTCTGTCGGTAATGAAGTCATCTACGTTACCCAGCAGACATGTTCTAGCAGTTTTGACACCTTTGTGACCAAAGCAAAGAGAAGATGATTTTGCGCATGCTCATTCTTCTCGACTTGGCGTTCTATCGCAAATGGGTGTCTAGTCTGAAATAAGATTCCAATAACGTTAGACAACAGTTTCATGGAATGGCCAGAGTTACTAAGAAGCAAAAAATTCTACAAAAGGTTATTCTTCGAGATCATTCGCAAAACACCATAAAAATCAAACGAATATATGTAAAAACCTAATATTTATGTTCCATCAGTTATAATCTTGAATTTAACCTATTTGTTGTTGTGTGTTAATTTGTAGATTTGTTTGGTTTCGTTTGGTTTGTTTTATGGTATGTAAATCTCAATAGGTTATTTAATGCAGACAAGATTTTTATTGTTGGTAATATTTATTTTCAAAAAATGTATTGCTGGTAATAATGTATTGCTGGTAATATTTTTTTTCAAAATGTATAGCTGGTAATAATTTTCTTCAAAAATCTATTGCTGGGGTTAACTATTTGCCCGTACCTGTAAGCCTAACAACTGCTACCATCCTGGACACCAGCTATTAAGAGGTGGATCCAAGCTGCTCAAAACCTTCTGATCAGAGGCTTGCTGTTGGATGTAGTTTATCGTCATACCCAGGACGAGAATTCTGTAGACTCCTCTTGCATATTCCCACGTAGCTGCTGTGATTTGTGTAACAAGTAGGATCTTATAAAGTGGATTGCAAACCTCAACCGAAGCCCGTTTTGAAACCAGATTTTTTCTTTTCCTAAATTGGTTGGCAATTATTAAGCCATAGCTGGGTGTAGGTGGGTGAAGAAGTGATGAATCTATACGTTTCCCAAAAGCATTTGTATGAAAGTGAAGTCAACCACCTCGGCTGAAATTTGAACTCGATACTCTAGAGCCATTTTTGACGTCGATTTATAAAATTCTATATTCTTTATTCTTGACTCCTGCAGTTAAAAAAGACAATTTTACCTTTTAAACCATTAAAAACGAATAAGCAAAAAACATATATATATATATATATATATATATATATATATATATATATATATATATATATATATATATATATATATATATATATATATATATATATATATATATATATATATATATATATATATAAATTTATTAAAAAACATATAACTTAAACATGTTATAGCATCATTAAAAAATAGCCTTAAATGTTAAAATAAAATTGCTATATAAATATAGTGTTTTTGGTCATTGGAATTTTATCCTGTCTACACATTCATTTATATATATATATATATATATATATATATATATATATATATATATATATATATATATATATATATATATATATATATATATATATATGAAAGTGAATATAGAAGTCTTTTTATAATTTACACTTTTTATATTTACCTCAACGCTCTATCTCTAATAGTGAGCACATTATCCCATAAATATAACACGTCTTAAGACTATATTTCTTCATATATATATATATATATATATATATATATATATATATATATATATATATGTGTGTGTGTGTGTTTGTGAGTGTGTGTGTAATTAAACGAAACAAAAATAAAAGCAATCTATTAGCAGCTTCTTCCTAAAGTTCTCTCTCTCTTCCTTTCTTTCAAATCTCTTACATTCCACTTGAGGTATATGGGGCCTAATACGCCTTCCGTATTAAGTAAGTTTTTTCTCGGACGGAATTCCTAACTCTACTCCCAACCGCTTTTGAATTCAGAATTTTCGTTCTCCTAGACTGGTTCCATCCAAGGCTGAAAAGCCCAGTCTTTCCTACTATTTAACGGACAACTATATCTCATTAGTTACTACTTTGAAACGCTTACCGTATGATCACAGAAGTTAAGCAAAATCGACCCTGTTCAGTAGGTAGATGGGTGACAGCGTGGGAATATCAGAAACCGTGAGCTTAGATGTGTGGGTGGTGTAATGGATAATGACTCGGGATTGTTAATCGGAAAGCCGAGTTCTAATCCCAGTTGGGTGCGTTGTATTCACTTATGTGCAAATGCCCTTGGTAGAGGTGTGAATCCAATTATTCTCCCCCAAATATGGGTTAATTAATAAGAACAGTATCACTAAGACTATTATCATCTAAAAAACTTCTTACAATCTAAAACTATTTTCTAGCTTTAAATAACCTGCACTGGGTTGATAAACCGTAAAAAACGATCCAATCAAACTAATTTGTTAATTATGTTAACAAGGGACATGCTCGGTTGCTGTAATGCGTTTTGTTATCAAAATAAAAGAATGTCTCAATAATTAGGGGGGATCAGGTTGCGTGACCGATATACATGTAGTGTGATGCTGTGTTTTGTTTTAAAGAATAGATATTTTTTTTGCAACGATGAAGCATGGTTTGAAATGAATGCCACATGACTAGTTAATTGGGTCACTTGCTGGATTTTGATAAAGAACAGGGACGCCAGGTCTCCTCTGGTGAGCAACACGCCTCTAACCTGTCAAAATAAAAGGGGAAGAAAGGATTTTGAAAGTTATTGACGAAAATATAAATGACCCTGGCTTGCTTTTTTTTTTTTAAGAGCATAAATAAATATTAGTTTATTTTTTTTATTATCCTGAGTGAACCAACAGAGAGTCGGTTCAATACAAACACAAAACTCGATAGAATTCATTATAAAAATTACAAGTCACTGTATATTACAGCCAGGCAAGAAAGATGCGGAATTTTATGTGTTAGCTTAGCAGAAAAGACAGGCACAATTTTGTAGGGCGTGGATGGGGTTGGTATTTATCATCAATTCTCGTCAATTTTATCAATCAATCACTGGTGGATCTCTATACGCAGCAGGTGCTTATTTATTTGTTGGAAAATAATTCTTGAGTGAGGAGGTTGCAAAACATTTTATTTAGTGTTTTTTGACGAACTGATATGAAGATTCCATTGGAAATGAGTGGAAAAGGATTAGGAAAAAAGTCAGAACGAAGATTCAATCCATGTCTTTCGGATATGATTTCCTACTGAAATAAAAAAAAACAATTTGTGACATTTGGATATTTCCGATAAGAATATAGCATATCATAACTATCTATCTATTCATATGTTTGTATGTATGTATCTATCCCATTCTATTCACATCCATCTATCTATCTATCTATCTATCTATCTATCTGTTGTATGTATTTATCTATCTATTCATATGTTTGTATGTATGTATCTATCTATCTATCTCATTCCATTCATATATCATCTATCTATCTATCTATCTATATGTATGTATGTATGTATGTGTTTATCTATCTATCTATTCATATGTATGTATCTATATATCTCATTCTATTCATATCATTCATCTATTCATCTGTATGTATGTATCTATTTCAGTCTATTCATCTCTCTCTCTCTCTGTATCTATCTATTCATCTATCTATCTATCTATCTATCTATCTATCAATTCATACGTATGTATATATCTATCTCATTCTATTCATATCTATCTATTCATATGTATGTATGTATGTATGTATCTATGTATGTATCTATTTAAGTCTATTCATATCTACCTCTTTTCTCTCTCTATCTATCTACCCATATGTATATATATATCTGTCTCGTTCTATTCATATCTATCGATCCATATCACGCATATATATATATATATATATATATATATATATATATATATATATATATATATATATATATATGTGTGTGTGTGTGTGTGTAGACTAGGTACAGGGAATTAGTGAAAGTCACTTGTTGTATGAATGTGTTTGTAACACTGCGCTTGTGCACACATTTTCCGGTATAGATGCAAACTCAAGGCGAATGTCTTTTTGATCTGAATGAATCGACAAAACGTGGCGTCCTTTCGGATTAGAAAACTCCTGTTCTTGCTTTCACACCTACAGACATGAGTTTTCTGACGTTACCTTGCCAAGTGGCGACAAACAAATACGCTGCACATTTTCTCATACATTCTCCGAGAAGCACGACAGTTTCTTTCTCTTTTGTTGTCAAACCAGCAAAAATGGTCGAGAAGAGAAGTGTCGTCAAGAGGATATTTTGGTATGTTTTTATTTGAAGGTTCATGCCTTTCCCTCGTGGTCGCCGATTTTGTGCTAGAAAATGGGCCCGAATCAATTTAGAATTGAATTTAGTTTATGCATTGATAATCTAAAATGTCTCGAGTTACTTTTAAGTACTAATATTAGCTTAGTCTTGACGAAAGAACCCAAATATTGATCCCTGTGTAAGGATCGAACTCATCACTAAACTTTTTTTCGCTCTGCATGCTGATTGTTACAACACAATGAAGTGATCAAGTTATTTGTTAAGAGTAGTGTTATAAAATAAAATAAGACATATCTCGGCTGATTTACAGGCAAATAAACTAACATACTCAAGAGCGAGAGTTGATGTGAACGGGACAAAGCCCCGTCACAAAATGACCAGTATCTTCGTTTATAAATGTTCCCGACGCACGAGTTCCGGTCGAAAAATTAATTAATATTTAAAGTGTTCTATTTTTCGTCCAATAAAAATGCTTCCCTCCTAATTATACTCGCTTCGTTTTTCGAACCTGTTAAGCTATAAAAAAAACGCCATAAAAGGGGTCACACGGAAGTACAACGGCAGTCAACAGCTGGTCAGGGAAGAGAACTGTCACGGTCAGGCAGAGCGGTCAGCAGCTGTCAGCAAGGGCGCGCCAGCGTCAACATGTGTGAACTACTATGAGAGATCGACCTAGATCCGAAGCCGGCTTATGAACTATGCCACAAGGTAGCTGTCCCAAACCCTCACGTTCCTGTTGAAATAAATCACGTAAATCTATTTCTGCTGTCTATAACAGTAGCTTAGTATGTATGTGCTACCTAGTAAGGATCGAACCTACTACCCAAGAGTAACGGTCAACTAGAGTATCTTGCTTTCCATTATCCTATCCCAAGGTAGTGTTTATAGTTGTTTTTGTTTACTCCCCACCCCTAGCACCGGCCGAATCACGTTGAAATACAGGTTCCAGTACGATCAGCGAAGTTAAACTGGTCATTACCGAGATGGTTAACTGTTTGAATAATACAAGGTGCTCTAAGCTTGGATGTGCGGGTGGTGTAATGGATAACGGTTCAAAATCGTTACTCGTAGAGCCATGTTCCAAATTCCAATTGGGTTCGTTATATTCCCCCCACACTTGGGAAATATATAAATTCACCTCGTCTCCTCCAGCTATAGATTAATTAGTAAGACATCACTAAAACTTATTATTACACACCGAAAAAATAAAATTGCGTACAAAATATTTAGATTTTGGTATGATGTTATTTAACCCATAGCGGTTGGTATGACGCCAAACAAAATCAACCGACCAAAAATCCCCAAACTCTGCCTGTTTATTGAGATCGTATTTTGATGTTATTAAAATAGTTCTTCAGGTAAATTTCTAAAGAAGTGCGTTTTACCTGAGGTAAGGGTATGACGATAAACTACATCCGCGTCCTGGATAAGACGATAAACTGCATCCAACAACAAGGCCTCTGATCAGGAGGTTTTGAGGAATGGAACCACCTCTTAATTGCTGGTGTTCCCAAGTCTACCCTAACCCGTGGTGGTAGCATCTGTTAGGGTCCCAGCTATGGGAAAATAGTTAACACCCAAACTTGTGTAAAAATAGGTTTTAATACCAGAAATACTTTGTAAAAATATTATCACCAGCCATAAATTTTTGAAGAAAAAAATTATTACCAGCAATATATTATTACCAGCAATATATTATTACCAGCAATACATTTTTGAAAAAAAAAATTTACCAGCAATAAAAATTGTCGGCATTAAATAACCCATTGAGGTTGATATGCCGTAAACCAAACCAAATCAAAACCTGAGTTAATGAATAAAAAAATAAAATAAAATCTGCCTTTTCGTTTTCCAATTCTTGGTGTTTTACCCGTCACCAGGAACGACGACCTAAAAATATTTGTCTCGAGAAGTTTCAAAGAGCAATGGCGGACTTACGCCTTTCTCCATATTTATTTTCACACATCCATAAGACGAGAAAGATGACGCAAGTTCTATTTTTTGTAGATTTCATCAATTCTGGAATTCTATGATTTTACAGCAGACAACAGGGTGTGCCTGTTGGAGAAAATTTAGAGCAAAATAGCCACAGAGAGGTATAAGGAAATAAGGAGAATTTGAAGAGAGAATGAAAGAGATCGAAAAAAAATACGAAAGAGAAAAAGAGAGAGAGAGAGAGAGGAAGAGAGGGGAGGAAGAAAGAGAGGGAGATCTTGTTAAAGACATACTGGATTATTGAGTTGTCCAGTTACTATCCACAAAATATCTCTTTAGAAGCAGTAATTTTCTCTTCTACGGATTTTCTCCGCCATGTTTACAATAATGCAAAACTGACGTTTAAGATGCTCCTCGCGTTTTATTGGTTATGTTCTATGTTTTATCACGTTGTTATATTTGCATATACGATTACATGATAATATACGCACTTAGTGTATATTTATTTATGTCCGGCAATGTAGATCTATTCTAAAACCTCTCCCCGTTTAGGTTTGTATCGATGTCCATCATGAGATAAACTTGTCATTTTCTCCAACACGACAGTGCATCGACTCTCCTCTATCTCTGACAAACATTCTTCATCGTCATCTCCCCGCCCCGTAACCATTCTCTGCTATCCTGTGAACCATTCACTCTGACTTCACGCAACATCCTAACCCCGGTACTACCACTGTCTTTTCCCTGTTCGATTCAATTTGACACTGATAGATTTATAAGCCTTTTATGCGAGAATAGGCAACAAGTTGCTTCGGATAGGTTGTTTGTAATTTCATTTTCTTGTGTCAGAAGAAGAAAAAAAAATTAGGAGGATTTTCCAGACGCCATGTTAGTAAATCTTCCGTTCAGGAATTGAAAGCAAAAAAGCACCAGATTTCGGATGGCAAATACAATTGCTTACACGCAGTGTCATGCTGACCGGTATTTCGTTTGGGACTTCTTTTTTCTTTTTAAATCTCATCGTCTGGATGTATTAGATTGAAAAGTCAATTTTTTACTATTAACATCAACAGAGTCCACCTTCCTTCGTTCTGTGATACACAGAAATCTTTTCTGTTAGTTCAAGACTTCTCGCATGAGCGCTAATCCTTCCCAACACTATGTTGCTTTACACTTTTCACGTTAATGCCAATTCAAAATAACACTGTTTTTATCTGTGGTTCTCTAAGCTGTGGCACAAGGCCAAAAGTATGGGGTGCCCAATGAGGATCGAATTAACTTTTCGATCGTAACTGATCTAGCGAGACAAGGTTGCAAATACCAATATACCACTTCGAAGTGCCCCCATTTGTGTGTGTGTGTGTGTGTATTACATTAAAAAGAAATGCAACCTTTATTAGATGTCGACAAAACTCTGCTCACCCCGAAAAATCCATACAGGTAAGCATGTATATACGAGAGAGATGGATAAATAGAGACAGACAGAAAGAATGCCAGAGAGAGAGAGAGAGAGAGAGAACGCAAAACAGGGACAGATCGAAATGCAGAGGGGAAAGAGAGAGAGAGAGAGAGAGAGAACGCAAAACGGGGACAGATCGAAATGCAGAGGGAAAGAGAGAGAGAGAGAGAGAGAGAGAGAGATGCAGAGTGACAAAGAAAGACACAGAAAGGAAGACAAAGACAGAGACAGAGACAGAGAGAAATGCAGAGGGAGAGAGAGAAAGATATATACACAGAGAGACAGCGACACAGATAGATAGATTGAGAGAGAGAGAGAGAGAGAGAGAGAGAGAGAGAGAGAGAGAGAGAGAGAGAGAGACTGACATACAGTGGAATAGATAAGGAGAAACAGAGAGATAGAGACAAAGAAAGAAACAGAGAAAAACAGAGAAAGAGAGAGAGAGAGAGAGAGAGTTAGGGAAAGAGAGAGGGAGAGTGGGAGTTAGAGAGAGAACACAAGACAGTGACTGATGGATATGCAGTGTGAAAGAGAGAGTGAGATGCAGGCTGACAAAAAAAGACAGAAAGAAAGAGACAGAGAGAAATGTAAAGAGAGAGAGCGAGAGAAAGATAGATACACAGAGAGAGAGAGAGAGAGAGAGAGAGAGAGAGATACCGAATTGAAAGTGGAATAGAAAAGGAGAACCAGAGAGATAGAGACAAAGAAAGAAAAAGAGAAAACCAAGGAGAGAAAAAAAGAGAGAGGAAGAGCGCGAGAAAGAGAGAAAAACAGAGAGAGGCAAAGAGGGAAAGAGATAGTAAGAAAGAGAGAGAGAGACAAAGATGCAGAGAGAAACAGAGACGCAAAGAGAGGGGCGACAAAGACAACGAGAAACACATAGAGACAGAGACAGAGGTAAACCAGAGAGGCAGATGTAAAACATACAGAGAGAGAGAGAGAGAGAGAGAGAGAGAGAGAGAGAGAGAGCGGGAGAGAGCGACAAAGAAGGAGAAAGAGACAGGTGAAATAAAGAGAGTCCGAGGGAGAGAGGCAGAGAGAGAAAGAGAAAGAGCGAGAGCAAGGAAGAAAGAACAGGAGTGACAGAAAGTGAGACAGAGACACACACACACACACACACACACACACACACACACACACACACACACACACACAGACAGACAGACAGAAAAAGATTAGGAGAGATAGAGTGAGACTTTCACAGACAGACAGAAACACTAAGAGACAGAGTAAGAGACACAGAAAGAGACGTGGGGATACTTGTAGAAAAAGAGAGGGGGAAATAAAGAGAGAGAGAGATAGAAAGAGAAGGGGATAGAGAGGGAGAGAGAAAGACATAGAGAGAGCCAAAGGGAAAGAGATTTATAGAGACAGAGCGACAGTCTCACAGATAGACAGAAACACAGAGGCAGCAAAAAAGAGAGACACAAATAGACGTACAGAAAGAGAAAGAGGGAGGCCCAGAGAGAAAGAGAGAGAGAGAGAGACAGAGAGAGAGAGAGAGAGAGAAGGACAGAGAAAAAACGTAGGGAGAGTCAGAGAGAAAGAAATTCAGAGAGACAGAGCGAGAATCTCGCATACAAAAACACAGAGACAACGAAACAGAGAGACGCAGAGACACATACAAAAAGAGAAGAGGAGGGAAAGAGAGACAGAGATAGGTATATATATAGAGAGACAGAGAAAGGCATACAGACAAACAGAGAGGAAGAGAGTCTTCTTTTTGAGAATTTTAGATGTCTCAGTTATTATCAAGTGCTAAATGTTGGCAGTATCGTAGATGAATCTTTTGTAGCGGACCTTTGGGTGATGAGTATGTATTGTAGAAGCACACATGTCGGTAGAATTTCCTGCTAGCCGGTCCAACTAGATGAGAAAGTTGGACTTTAATTAAGTCCAAAGAAAACAAACAAAACAAACAAAATCGATAAATATATATAAACAAATATATGTATTAACAACAATTTACAGGTTACAAGCACATGGACAGTTACATTGAGTGCGTGTGGTGAATATTATATGTGTGTGTGTTGTGGTGAGTGTTCGTATGTACGTGTATTGTTCTTAGCGTGTTCCCAGGATTTGGGAAACGCTGTATCTGTGAGAGCTCACATCTGCGAGGTGGTATAAGGGCCTCAAAGCCTGAAGAAAAAAGAGATCGAGGCGATGGGTCAGCCAGTATTTATAGCCAGGGGAGAGAGACCCCTGGTGAAGAGTTAAGGAGCTAAGGAGGCGCTAACCCCGACACGTTTATTAACTACATACTGTTTTTTTTTTAAACGTTACCTTTCGAATTTAAATCCAATTGTATCGTATTTCCACTTATTTTAAGTTTTCAACGTTGAAAATATGGCCATTTATCTGGTTTATTTTGGTTACGGATTTCGGAATGAGATTAAAAAAATGAAGTATCTATGGCCAAGTTAAGTTTTAATAGATACACTGATCAGATTAAATTTCGTTTATCACAAAATGCCGATTTCGCTTTCTTTGTAGTGCATAATCTTTTTGGAAGGCACGGTGGAGTAATGGATAGCGGCTTGGATTGAGGAATCAGAGAGCTGAGTTCAAATTCCAGTCGAATCCATGACATTCACTTACGTGCTAATACCCTTGGGAAAGGTGTGAATCCTCTTCTTCTCCCTCCAGCGATGGGTAAATAGCAGGACAGACTGGGTTCTATAGCCTTGGATGGCAACTAGTCTAGGAGAAGGACAACTCTGAATTCAAAACCTGCGGAGGGTCGTTTGGGGACCTTGTGGCACTTAGTGCACCAGGTCTCTGTATTCGGCCCTTCAAAAAGTGTGGATGGTCCTGCACGAAACCTTCACCACTAAAATCAAATCTCATGTGCTGTTGTCGGGGTGTCGGTTTCTTAGGAACTGATCTGCTTGACCCTTATACGTCAAATTCTACGGGAGAGTCGAGTATATATATATATATATATATATATATATATATATATATATATTTCATGACTGCGATTGTTTTCGGCGAGGTTTTAACGTGATATTTTGCGACGAATTTGTTGTACGTTAACAATTTTTATAACTTGGAAATGAATTTGGGAATAATCGAAATTAATTTCGAAATCCATCGAAATTCATCCATGAAATAAGAATAATTGTTTGTACGGAAAGTAAGGACCTACGCGCCTCAAATTGTTATTAAATTAAGTCGTGGCAGAAGAATTATCGTTGAAGCTTTTAAAGGTAAGCTTAAACAATAATGCAATACTTAAATGCACCGACCAATTTTGAGTTCTTCTGTAGTTTATTGAGGCCTATTGCATCTACTTCTCTTTACCTATTATGATGAAGGACATTCAAGCGCCATCCGCAGGAGTTAGCTTCAATGCCACCCGATAGGGTGGGTTTTAAGTTGTATATATATATATATATATATATATATATATATATATATATATATATATATAACTAGTTTACCGTCATCTGGTTGCCTTTAAACCTCAGGCGTCAATCAGAGTCTATAGATCAAAGAACAACCGATTTAAGTCCAATGCACCAAAATTTCCGGTGAGTCGTTCATTAATTATGAACAAAATAAGTCTATTTGAGTGCACATTGCTTAACGCTTTTAATCAGGCAAGAATGACACATGAAGGTCGGAAATTGGAGGTTTGAGGACAAATGAATTAGAAAAATGAAAACAAGTAGGTTTCATCGTTAAATGTCGGAGCTTCTACATAATGACAAAAAAAAAAAAGAAAGAAAAGAAAAAAAGGAGAAAAATTATTAGGATGGTTCTTGTCTTTTAAAGAGTAAACGGCTTCAAATTATGCAGAGTTACACGCCCTTGTCCGGTGATGAGCAGTCGAAATAAGACAGCTGAAAGGCTCCACAGTATTTTTCTTTTATCCCTTTTAGTTTAAATTCTGAGATTAAATATTATTAGTATCCTAAAAGATAAAAAAACAAACAAAATGAACGCATGATCTAGTGAAGAGATCGTTAGCGTTACAGCCACGAAGTCAGGGTTCGAATCTCACCAGAGTCGATTTATCAAGACAGAGACTAAAATATCAACTTAACTTTTATTGGGAATTGGCTGAAAAATATTCCATAAACCTTACGAATGAAATTGAAAAATCTAGGTAATGCAGGTACCTCTCACATGCTGAGCGAGCGCTCTACCACTTGAGCTATTCCTCGTTCCTGATCCTTTTGATTTACCTAAAAAGGTATGAAGATTGCACGAGCAATGTTAGATTTTGGGCACCTCCAGGTGGTGTAATGGTTAGCAAGCTTGTTTCGCTAGAACAAATTACTGAGTAGTAAGTTCGATCCTCACTGGGTGTTTCATTTGTTCGGCCATGTGCCACATCTGAGCTACGCTTGGAAAATCACTATGATGTAAGGTTTTCCTTAAGGAGATTGAGGTGATTCAGCACAGTAAATCTCGAATGGTAATTGCCCACTGTTATTGGGTAAAGATTATCGGAAAGAAAGATTATAAATCTTGTAAATCCGGGCATTAAGCCCGGTAGTTTTCGTATAAAAACCAGCGCTCTAACAGTTGAGCCAATTCCTCGATCTCGAATTATGCTATCTATCTTATGCTGAAGAAAGCGGAAAGAATACAAGTTGTATAAAAGCATTGGAGAATCCGACTGTTGTAGAGTAGTTTTCACAGTGGAGGCTTGTATTTCAATAAGTCGTCCTAAATTAGGTTCGACGTACAAAACGTTAGGAACTTGAAATAAGAGTTAATGACGCAGCAATCTAATTGTGATGGTTGATACTTCAATGTCCGACATCGACTGACTCGCTCAACACCACTGAGCCCAACTAGCCACTACTACTACTACTTATTATCTGTGGGAGAGTCTATTACAATAGAATAGGTATTATAGTATAACACCCACACACGCTAAGCGAGCGCTCTACCCTTCCAGATTCTTTTAGCTTACCTAAAGAGTATGAAGCTTGTTCGGAGGGCGCTGTTGTTGACTTTAGCATTAGATCATAAGTCATCGTGACCGAAGAGTTGAGTGTACTATTGTTGCTCAATTACTGAAGAAAGTCAAATATACCAGAACAGGCGTCTAAATCTTAGCGAATCGGCATACTTGTAGTCGAGCAAACGGCCATTGAAAGAACGAGTATCCTCTTTTTATTGTTTTATAAACAAGTGTATATTGTATCCAATAATTCTTGAATCCCATCTACATATCTTGTTACGACTTACGCGCGATCACCGAAGTTAAGCAACGTCTAGCCTCGTCAATACCTGGATGGGTGATCGCTTGAGAATACCAGATGCTGTAAACATGGATGTACAGGTGGCGTGACCGTTTGGAACAAGCTTGGAAATTCCACCAGACACAGATCAAGATTTGTTGTTTCCTTTCTGCTCCATAAGTAAGTCAGGATTTTATGGCCAACCAAGTATTGCAAGCAGCTAGACCATATGGACGACAAACTTAAGAAGGAGTTTCCTGCTTTAATCAATCGAAGTTGGACTTTGTTTCAGCAAAACAATGCGAGGCCATACACTGCCATGTTGACTAAGGATAAATTCAAACAGATGGACGATGTTGAGATTCTTCCACATCCACCATTCAGTCCCGATGCTGATCTGAGTGACAATGAACTATTCAGCTTCATTTTGTTTATCAAGTAATGGTGTTGAATGTAGAACCTTTAACCCTATCACTTGATAACACACTAGAAGTGTTGAAACAAAATGGCTATTTTTGTAATGATTTTTATGTTATAATTTTCGCATAAATATATATATATATATATATATATACCCAAGTATATAATTGGTATATACAGAATGAATTCCAATAACCAACAATTACTATTCTTAAAAGAGTGCTCAATACAAAGTAGAGCAGATATAATTATTATTTATAAAAAAAAAAAATTATAACATAAATATGTTATAAAATCACTACAAAAACAGCAACAATGTTTTCACCTGGTGAAGGATCGTTAATTAATTTGAAACTTTTAAAACCATTTATTTTATATTCAACATCATCACTTGATAAGACACCGAGGGTGTTGAAACTAAATGGCTATTTTTGTAGTGATTTTATAACATATTTATGTTATAATTTTTTTTTTATTAATAATATATATATATATATATATATATATATATATATATATATATATATATATATATATCAACAGAAAAATAGGAAGATCATTAACTGGTATTCAAATTTCGACTGAAAAGAAATTAATTAGCAAAAAAAGTCACATTGAACTGCAGCAAAAGCTCAAAACAGACAAGGACATTAAGACGGTTCCATGGGAGATCTTTAAGTTGGTGGCTTCAAGATCGACTGTTCAACCTTCTGAGTTCCACGGATGTTGTAAAAAATTCTGGAACAGGTGGGCAAACATTTTTTTTTAAATTAACAGAGAAAGAAATTGACACCGAATGCAGAAATCTATATAATGATTACATTTAAACAGAAAAAAAATCTTGCGAAACAAAGAAAAGTGCTGAACTGCTATGTAATATCAGTCCTCCTATATGTCAGGGAATTCTGGACAATCTCCTCAAAGATGAAGAAGAGACGTCAAGCAATAGAA